TGTTTTCTTTAAGGAAGAGGGTATGTATTCAGGGATCAGTGGGTGAGCCAAGGCTGGCCATGGCTGCTTTGTGTCTAGAGATACAGGGGAGAGACAGACAGCTCTCGGGGGACCACCTCCCTCACTCCTGCTGGTGTCCTGCACAGTACCTGGCAGTGACAGAGGCTTCTTCATTTCAATCCAAACTTGTGCGGTCAAGTGGCTAAAGTTTGCTGAGTTCTTGCAGACCTAAGTTTAAACCCCATCTATACCTCTCTGTAGTTTTCTTCTTTCTTCTCCATTTAACCAACAAGCAGTAAGTGAGAGGCATGGAAAGATACAGGAAGGACAGACAAGGTGCGGCCTTCTTGGTGACCACTTGCTTATGGGGAGGGACTGCAGGACCAAGCTTCTTCTACAGAACAGGGGACTGGAGATTTAGACTTAGAAGGGGAACAAACACCTGGAACTGGGGCCAGGCTATGTGAGGTGAACAGACACCTGCAGCAAACTGCAGGGAGACACTCCCTAATTCCCTCACGTTGTGGCTGCCCAGGCACTAAAAAGGGTATCTGCACCCAGGTGGGGCCTGCACAGTGCACCAGATGCTTCCAGTTCATGGCACTGCCCCTACCCTTCATTTAAAGATGTTTGGTTCAGTCCTCAGAACAAGAATAATCACATCTGGGCCTAGTGGTGCAGGCCTGTTCTCTCAGCTACTCCGGGATGTCTGAAGCAAGGTGGGGTGCAAGTTCAAGGCCTACTTGAGTTACAAAGTAATCCCAAGGGTAACCTAGGCAACCTAGTGAGATTGTCTCTCTAAAAACAAACTGAGGACTGGCATGTAGCTCAGTGGTAGAACACTTGTCTAATATGCTTGAAGTCCTGAGTCGAATCCCCGAGAGAAAGAGAGAGAGAGAGAGAGAGAGAGAGAGAGAGAGAGAGAGAGAGAGAGAAACAGAAGAAAAAACAGCAAGCTGTCCACCTTCTAGACCCAGTCACTTTATGCAAAAGCAATGGTGTGTCACAGAAGCAATACACATGCCACCAAACATTCCCAGACACCCACCAGGAAGCCCTTCCCCCTGGATTCCGGGTACCCCATGCAGGGCTGGGGGTGAGGAGTTCAGAGAGGTGGGGTTTCTATCCTGAGCCCCCACACAGGAAGCAACCTGCACCACTGTGCCTGGCCCGGTGGTGTTAGCCACTGAAGCCCAGCACTGTGCCAGGCACCCAGGGGGTGGAGCTAGATGGTGGGTCTATTCTCATGCCAGCTATGCTACCCTTGCTCTGGGTGCTGGGAGAGAGCCTGGTGCTGCCAGCCTGGCCATGTTGGCACCACTCTCTGGTGGAGCAGCGGATGGCTTGTGGTTTGTCTGCATTCCAGTGCATTGATCAAAGGTGACTTCCTGTTTGCTGGGTGACTAATTCTGTCACCATTCCACCCTCCCAGGCCTCCCCTTGCACCCGACAGTCATTTAGCTGCCTGCTGGTAGGAAGTCCTCAGAGATATTCTTTTGCTGTGGCAGAATTGAATGGTGTGTACATTTATGTCCATCCCAGGAGCAAGGATCCCTGCTAATCCACAGTTGAAATGAGAGGCAATGATTCAGCCATGGCTGTCAGTCAAGAGGTGTTTCTTAGCAACTCTCAGAGTAGCACATTTGCAAGAATCAGAGCCCAGAGCGGCTGAGCTAAAAGCATCATGATGAGAAATGGGTATTATTCATGATAACTAGAATTACAGACAGTTGTGAGTCATTATGTGGGTGCGGGAATTGAACTCCCTCGGTGAGAGAGTTTTTTGAGACAGTGTCTCTCACTGGTCTGGAGCTCACAAAGCAGGCTACACAGGCTGACATATGCCTGTCTCTGCCTCCTCAGTGCTGGGATTCGGGGTGTGGACCACTGCAGCGGCAAGTACTGGAGATTGAACTCAGTCCTCATGCTTGGGGGCTGGGGGGGGGGACAAGCATTTTACCTCCAGAGTCATGCCCCCCTCCCCAGCCCTTTAGCCTGCTTGGGCTGCAAAATCAAAAATACCACAGACAGGAGTGAGGGGTCTGAATGACAGATACCTTTTCACGGGTCACATGGTTGGGAGCCCGGTGCAGATTCCTCAGTGTGGTCTCATCACTTGGCAACTCTGAGGGAAACTGACCCGAAACAGCAAAGACAGTGATAAAGATGATCCTGTTTGTGGCTAGCATTTGGGTGGCACTATTGTGTGCCAGGCCCTGGGGGAGCATCTTGGATATATATAAACTCGCATAATTCTCACAGTAATCTCTTGAGATGGGACCTATTGACCTTAATTAATTGATTGGTTTTTAAATTCGCATAGATGTGTTAGGTTTCAGTATGACATCATCAAGCATTTCTTGTTGTTAATTCTCCTGCCATCTCTCCCCACCACTCCCTCAGTCCTGCTACCCCTCAAATGCTGCTACTCTCAGTAGATCCCTGTACGCTATAGGCAAGAACTTTCTGAACTGGGCTCTAGTAGCACAGGAAATAACCCCACAAATTACCAAATCAGACTACATGAAGTTTAGAAAACACTGGAAAGCAAAGGGAACTACCATCAGGGCAGGCAGACAGCCTGTATGGAATAGGAGAAAAACCTTGGCTAGCTATAATATCCAGTATATATAGAAATGTGCACAAATTGAACACCAAAACAAAATCTTACACATAAAAATACTGACGATCTATAAATGAGCTAGTGAGATAAATAGAAAGTTCTCAAAAGAAGAAACACAAATAAACATTTTTGAAAGTGTTCAGGACTGGAGAGGCTACTCAGGGTTAAGAGTGCTTGCTGTTCTTGTAGAAGACCGGGGTTTGGTTTCCAGTTCCCACCTGGCAACTCACAACTGTCCATAACTTCAGTTCCAAAGGATTCAATACCCTCTTCTGATCTCTCTCCTTGGGCACCAGGCACACACACACAGATGCACATACATACACGTGAACCAAACACTCACACACACATTTTAAAAGGTGTTGCATAGCCTGAGCCATCAGGCATATCAGAATTAAAAGTTCTTCACTACCCCCATCACATGGATGAGGAGACTGGGACTCGGAGGCTTCAGGACTGGTCCAGGGTCAAGTTTTCCCGTGTGTGGTGAGGAGGAGCCCACTTTGCAATCCTATGTTGCACTGTGTTCACCTAGAGCCGTCTGCAGCCTCTGTGTGAGCTCCCCAGTCAGTCAGGCACGGCTGTCATTGTTGCTCCACTAGTCACAGCACTGTTGGACCCTGGAAGCCTTGCCACCCTCCTGCCAGCTCTTAGTAGATGTTCACTTCCAAGCATTTAAATGCTCTGCTCTTTAACCTTGAACCTAGCCCCTGGGCTCAAGGATTCGTTTCTGTTGTACTTACATCTGCCAGTAGGTGGCAGTAAGCCTTTTGCTTTGGTTTGTTTTAAATACTGCTGTTTTGAAACAGTTGGTGGACGGGCTAGGACAGCTTTAGAGGACATTCTGATTGCTGGAGAAAAGTGTTGTCTGATTCCAGGTGATCTCAGAAAAACATAGGTCCTGCATGTCCCACTGTTTGTTCCCCATGGCCCTGACGTTGCAGAAAGACTATTTAGAGTATGCAGTGAAAGAGCCAGGGAACCTCAGCTCTGGGAGATGAAAAGCCATGTCTCCTGACTGTGGGTAGCTTATATCTCCCAGCCCAAGATACTTATAACCTTACATGTGCACTGAAAGTAGTCACCTAGGGGTTGGGGAGTTGGCTCAGTAGGCCAAGTGCTTGCCCACCAGTGTGAGGATTTGAGTTCAGATTTCCACACCCAAGCAAAGGGGAGAGCACATGCCTACCATCCCAGCGCTGGATGATAGCTGCAGGAAGATTGCTGGGCCATCCGCCAGTCCACCTGGTCTGGGGAGTTCCAAGTTGAGTGAGAGACTCCGTCAAGGTGTCAAGGTGGAGACAATTGAGAAAGGTCACCCAGATGTGAGCCTCTGAGCTATGCACATGCACACACAGAGACAGGCCCCAAAGTAGCCACTAAATAAGACCTAGCTTGGATTGAACAACTGGGGCTTATAAGTTTGCAAACCCCCATTGTTGAATTGTTAACTAACAGTGTTTCGACTTGTATAAAGCTAAATTTTAAATTTGGATGGAGCCATTATGTGTGCCCTTTGCATAAATGTATTCTTGTGAGTGTGTATGATGATGCATGACCTTTTCCAAGCTATTCAACCTATTTGCCTCGGTTTCCCCATCTGCAAATTCAGGACAATATTCTCACGGTCCTGCTGATTAGTTACAAGGAGTCAATGAGTTTTACTCAGAGCAACGCTCCTAGACAGTGTCTCTCCACACAGGGAAAGACCTCAGCAGCTGCTGCTCTTAGAATTTCCTCATGACTGTGCTTGTCTGAGCTGTGCCCTGCCCTGTCAGCAATGAAGATGCTCTAGAGATGCTAGCTTCCTCCCTTGCTCTTCCAAGGGATCTGGGTTCGATTCCCAGAATCCACATGGTAGCTCACAACTCTGTAAGTCCTGTTCCAGAGGAGCCTGAGTCCTCTTCTGGCCCCTGAGGACACTGTATACACATGGCACACAGACATTGTGTGTGCAGGCAAAGCACCCATGCATGCAAAATAAAAACTAATCAACCTTTTTTAAAATAATATTTTTAAGAGCCAGGCAGTGGTGGCACACACCTTTAATCCCAGCACTCAGGAGGCAGAGGCAGGTGGATCTCTGAGTTTTAGGCCAGCTTGGTCTACAGAGTGAGTTCCAGGACAGCCAAGGCTGTTACACAAAGAAACCATGTCTCGAAAAACAAAACAAATAAACAAGCAAAAAATATACAAATGGTACCCAAGAAATTGGGATTTTTCCCAAGAATTGCATTGTGAAGAAAAAGGCTGAAGCCTGGTGCCTGGTGCCAGCCAGTGCAAGGAGCTTGTCTCTATGTCTTGACTTCACATGCAGGCTCTAAGACTTAGGTTTGCATTTTGATTTTTTTCCTCCCTTTTCTCTATTGAAGGAACAATGGGCAATCAAATGAGTGTCCCACTAAGAACTGAAGTTCAGGAGAAGGAACCGGAAGCAGACACTTACAAGGTAACACACTCTCAATTGCTGGCACACGGATACCAGAAAGTAGAGTCTGATATTCTGCCTTCCCAGGGCTCACTGAGAGATGGGATATATGGGCCGATGCTGGCACTGTTGGTCAGTGGTAGCTGACATCCTAGAATCCACCAAGGAGCTAGTCAAAAAGGCAGGTCCTGTGGTGGGAGGGGGCTCAGTGGGTAAAGTGCCTGCCTTGCAAACATGAGAACCTGAACTCTGGTCCCCAGCACCCACAGAAAACGCTGGGTGTGGCAGCACAGAGACATGAGGGTCCCGATGTGACCTCTGACCTCTGCAAGCACAGGCATGGGCATGTATGAGTACACCTCCACCACAAAATACAGACTCTGAGATGCCATGTAAGATGAGCAGTTCGAAGAAATGGTGGCCTAAGAGCCTTCAACGACCTCCATGGGAGATGGCCAGGGAGCCTATTTAGTAGCTAGTTCAAGGTCGGTTTCCAGATGCAGACTTTTTTCTCGGTGCTTCCCCTAGTGACACTGGACAGTAGCTGGAGATGTTTCTGTTGTCTTAGGAAAGGGCTGTTTCTGACATCCGGTGCATAGAGGCCACAATTGCCACCAATGGCCCTACTCTTGTGTGATGTTTTGATTGTGTTTGCTGGCTTTGATAAGGCTTGCTTGGAGTCAGAGGATAAAGTTAGCCACAAGCTGACCAAAATCAACCATAGAGGCTTGAAGGACTGTAGATAGAGAGGAGACAGGAAGTGGTAAGGCGGGGCTGAGAGAGAATCTCGACCCTTTTGGATGGAGAAACAGAAGAGGTAGATTGCAACTGATGGCTGCTCCCTGCTTCTCTGATCTTTCAGGTGCTTACCCTGATATCTGACTCTCGATTTTTTATTGATAAAAATTAATTAGATTAATGCTTCATCCTACAACACACAGAACACACACACACACACACACACACACACACACACACACACACACACACACACAGCCAAGAATTACCTAGCCCAAATGCCCATGGTGCTGAGGTTGGCAACCCTAGGTATATTTCAGTGGTACAAGACTTTAGCTGTGCATTGGACCTCTGGAAAATGTCTAAAATTACAGCATCTGGCTTTCTCCACAGAACAACTTTGTGGGCGGATTAAGGAAGTCCACAAACAGCCGAGTAAAAGCATAACAAATATTTATGTAGGAAGCACTCACACACTGAAAGGTAAAGCACCGCCGTGGTCTTCCTCCCTTGGAGGGTCAGGATGCTACCATGCAGGATGATGGTCAGGTCTCAGCCCATCACCCCAAGATAGAGCCAGCGTGACCCCCTCCTCTTCCTTATAAGGGATCACGTCCGCAGACCAAAGCCATGCCCTAAGAGTCCGAAACTATTGGCAGAAACGAATTCCTACTGCACAATTTGACCCAAAATCATGTAGAAATCAGAGTGGACGGGAGTGCTCTCAAAGCTCCTCCATTACAGCACTGGTGGGGAGCTACCGCTACGGCTCACCCCTAAAAGATTCCTGTCAAAAGCTGTGGCCAAGGGGCTAGGAGTTAGGTCAGTTGGTAAAGTGCTTGCCTTCCAATCACAAGGACCTGAGTTCGATTCCCAGAGCTCACATTTAAAAAAATAAAAAGCCAGACGGGTATACACCGACCCTGAGGCGGAGGTAGAAACAGGCAGCAGATCCACGGGGCTTGTAGGCTAGTTAATGGAGATTAGGCTAGCTAATGCAGATTTCTTGGTGAGCTCCAAGCCACTGTCTCAAAACAGGTGGATGTGGCCAGAGGAGCAGTACCTGAAGTTATCCTGTCCACAAGCGTTCACACACATATACATGGAAATACATACATGTGCATCTATATATCCACATAAGCACACACACACACACACACACACACACACACACACACACAGAGGAACTTTCATTATTTGGCAGGTGTGTTCATTAAAGGCTCCGCTAATGATTGCATTTGTGTGGCCAAGCTAGACAGGAGGAGTAGCCTGGCAGGTCACTGAATCGCATTTTAGATTCTTGTTCGGTTCCTTATTAGACAGTGCACCTTTGGGGCCTCAGCATCCCGCACTTACTGTGGTGTCTGACCGCCTGTGTGAGGCTGCTGAGGTGATGCATGAACCCTGGAATGCTCTTCTGACAGGAATCCGGCCTGAGTGAGTCATTTTGCTACTCCAAGTCTGGATAGAAAGCTGGCACTTCGTACAAACACAACCTTTAAGTTTGGCGTTGGAAGGGGCTCCTGTAGCCTTGAGGGTCTTCCATGAGTTTCCCCCTTCCAAGACCTGACCACCAAAACCATCTGTTCTGTTGCAGGTGATAGCGGACAGTGAGCGTGTTCAGAATGGGAACCCAGTGATGGTGTCCACTCAGGTGATTGAACACTCTGATGAAGGTCAGTACTGTGTCAGTGCTATTACGATAAATCTTTCTGCCAAAAGCCACCGAGCCCCACCGCCATGTGTGTACTTTACGACAGCCACCTGCCCAAGTTAGGGCTCCAATTAATGCACAGAGAGACTTGTATTAGGTTCAAAGCTGCTTGGCCAATGACTAGGATTCTCATTTGCTAACTCATTATTTTAATATCATATTAATTATTTAATTAATTAATTAATATTAATTAATATTATGATAATATTAATTATCATAAATCTATATATTTTATAAGACTTATCTTATAGAGGATGCCTTTCGCTGGCACCCTCTCTTGCCGGTGGCTCACATGCAGCAGCTGGCGGAAGGGGAAAAAGGGGACACTTCCTGTTTCCTTTGCTTAAATATGAGTCTCCTTGCTATGTCACTTCCTGCCTGGATCACCACTTCTCTACTACATTTCCCAGAATCCTCTTTGACTCCTAGTCCTGTCTAACTTGCTGTCTCATTGGCCAAACAGTATTTTATTCAATAATCAACAAGATAAACATACAAATAAGTACATTCCCCATCACAGTGCTCTGCCAGAGTGTAAGGTCACCTCTGACCCTATTCACAGTGAACAGAACAAGGGTAGAGCCACAGGGTTTCCTTGAAAGCTCACCTATTTATTCCCCAGGCTGGCAGAAACCCTGGGCCCACGCTGGGTGCTCACACATCGAAAGCTGCCTGCCATAGGGTGTTAGAGCCAGAATCTAGCTGTCATCAGTTTGCTCTCCTCTGAGCTCTGGAGAGGACCAGATTCAGCCTGTTCTGACTCAAGGATGGATGGTTTCTCCCTGGATCTCCACAGCATTTCTAAATACACATGGCAGCTGAGCACAGCTATACAGCAGATAAGAATAAGCAATAGAATGGGAGCCCCCAGGCTCTGGCTTTGGGGTCAACATACCTGACTTAGAACCCCCACTTGGCAGCCCATTGGCTATGTCACATGGCACAGCAAGGTGTGACATTTGATGACAGACTCATCCTCACCTCCCTGCCACAGGCAGGGGTTCCTTCCCTATCTGATTTTGGAGAACTGGAAGAAATGAAACCTCAGACATCGCAGAGATCAAAGAGTTAGAGGGGATGAACCCACAACCATCCCATCTACCTCCAGGCCAAACTACTCAATAACCCTTATAGGAAAATGAGCTCTTCTAGGGCTAGACAGATGGCTCAGTGGCTAAGAATACCCGCTGCTCTTCCATAGGCTGTGGGTCAGAGGCTCAGCACTTTCTTGGTGGTTCACAGCCATCTCGGATGCCAGTTCCAAGAATCTGATGCCTTCTTCTGGCCTCCACGGGCTCCTGCATGCCTGCAGTATACACACTCACACAGGCACATACACATTTTTCAAAATGATTTACCGTACTTTGCACTTGATAAATTGTTGGCCACAGAAATGGCCACAGCCCCACTGATCTTTGACCGTCCTTCCCACCTGGTAAGGCAGGAGGAAGTCAGCTCCCCCGCTTACCTTAGATGGCATTAAGCCCAGAGATCCCAGGAAGGAACATGGAAGGGGCTTCTGAAAGATAACTGTTCTCTGGGTTTGCTTTTGTTTTGTTCTGTTTTAGCAAAGCCATGTCACACCTCCCCCTCAGGGACTGTAAGGCAAGAGTCTCTTAAAACACACTCCATGAGCAGAGATAATGCTGCTCCTGTTTAATTAACATTTTGTTCCTTAATCACAAAAATGTACTTTAAAAAGACACTTCTGTTCTCCAGAGAGGCACCCGAGTCACCTTCACACTGAAACAGACTTGAAGTTTGCGGCAGAAGCCAAAGGAAGCAGGGAGTGAGCTCGGGGGACAATGAAGGACTAGGGTGGGGTGCGTGGGGAGGAGGCACTGGACCACAGGGCCCAATCTTCTCTGTTGTCATAGCATAGGGATGTTAACTCATACATGTGTGTGGCTTGTGTCTGTTTCATGTGAAAAGAATGGGGGTTTTTATCACCTCATCTGGGACCAGTCTAGGGAACTTGAAGGCTCACAGCATCCTCGTTGAGAATTATGCATCGGGATGCAAGGTATGGACTTAAGAATCCACAGAGCATTGCAGGGAGGGCTGGTGATGTGCAAATCAGAACCCTTCCTCTCCCAGATGGACCCCTGGGACCTGTGAGCATGTGACCTTACCCATGGGTGACCAAAAGAAGGCTTTGTGAATGCGTGAGATGGAGAGGTGGTCTTGAGATATCTGTGGAGGTCTAATGTCATCTGAAGGGTCATTGTAAAGAAAGAAGCAAGAGGGACAGAGCTGGAAAGGAAGAGGTGACATCGGGAGCAGATGTTAGACAGAGGAAGGAGGGGCTTGAAGATGGGTACTGACAGACTTGACTGTGGTGACCATACGCTAAGTAGTACACAGCCTCAGAACAGGTGTGGAAATTTCTGGGGACTGACCCACTTTTAACAGGTGACCTTCTGAAATGTAAGTTACCTGTGTTGTGTTAAGGCCCAAACTTTGTAGCTGCTTGGTGCCACAGTGCATGCAAGCACTACTGTCTGACTAACTTGACTTGGGGGCGGGGGTAGGTGCCAGCTCTGCCACTTGCTACCTGTATAATGGCGGGATGGAACTGTCCACGATTCGCCTGTAAGATGGGAGTCATACCATTCTCTCTGGCCATCAGGGGGTATAAGGTTGGCGAGTATGAAGCGTGAGCTTGAGGACACAAAGGAGGAGAGGCCCACTACAGGCAAAGTAGACTGCAGTGCCAACTTTGTCACTGGCTACCCCAGATGAGTCGATCTTTTTTTAAAAATGTATTTGGTAGTTGTGCATTGCACGAATTCTCATAGGTTTTAATAATAAAATCCTGGAGTCAGATATTAGGAGGTAAAAGCTGAGAGACAGAGAAGCAGTGCAGCCAGTCACTAGAGAGACCTTTTACCTCTACCGAATCCTCAGACTGAGGGGAGATCCTGTCTCTAAGAATCCCCAGACTGAATGCTTCAGACTGCTGCCTCAGACTGACTAGACTGCCATGAGCTCCTGTCTCCTCCTGCCTTGTATTCCTCGCTCTGTCCAGCCATATCCCTTCCTGTCTCCACCTCCCTAGTGCTGGGATTAAAGACATGTCACTCCAAGTACTGGGATCACCTTTGTGTGAGCTCTGTTTCTCTTTTAGACTGGATCAGCTTCATGTAGCCCAGGGTAGCCTTCAACTCACAGAGATCCTGTCTCCTTATTGCTGGGATTAAAGGTGTGGCCACCACTGCCTGGCCTCTATGGCTAACTAGTGGGGCTAGCTTTGTACTCTGATCTTCAGGCAAACTACATTTGTTAGATCATAAAATATCTTCACAGTTGTGTGTTAGAGATCAACCAGTAATCAATAGGGTATAGGTTTTCTTTATTCAGGTACACCAGCAAGCAAGGCAGGGAGGCCAGAGAGAGAGGGTCCCCACGTCTCTCCAGCCCTTTAAGAACCTCCTTTTATGTCACCTCAGACTTCCCCTCACCCCACCCTCACGGGCGTGTCCTGGCACACATGTCCGGGTTACTGGGGCGAGGCTAGGGTGTCTCGCTGCCATGTGGTTGCTGGGAATTGAACCCAGGTCCTCTGGAAGAGCAGCCAGTGCTCTTAACTGCTGAGCCATCTCTCCAGCCCAGATGAATCAATCTTACCTGACAAGATTTTCCCTCTTGGGTATTTATTCCCAAAACTTCACAGATCTTTGGGGAAAATAAAAATGCCCCATTTCTCTCTCTCTTTGATTCTGTTCTAGTCAATTTATCCTCTTTAAAATAAAGAAATGTCTATCCTCACAGCTGATGGATGGCAGAGCCTGGCGTGTGACTGATCTGCCGGAGTGTATCGTTTCTCAGAAGCCGATGCCTGTCTCTGTCACACATGGATAAGACGTTTCTTAGAATTAATATCTTCCTTTTCATCCCTCGTCAATTGTTCTTAAAGAAGGAACTGTCCAATTTTGCATCTTTGAAATACACCTGTGTGTCTATACACACATATATGGCATCAGCTTAGAGAAGGGAAAATTCCCTAATCAAGTAAGAAAGGCCTCTGCTGGTAAGACAATGAGTGAGAATTTGCCGGATTTGATCCTTGAGGAATTCTCCCAGACAGTGCCCCAAATCAGAGCTGCCTGGCTGTGGAAAAAATTACAGAGCCTGGGCAGATGCTAATGTATGTGTTCTCCTAGTAGCTGCTATTTCCAACTGCTCTGAGTTTGCTTTGGGTTTTGTTGTTGTTGCTTGAGGTGGTTTTATGCTTGCCGGTCATTCTGACCTTGAAGTCGAAATCCCTGTATGTCCTCCTACAGTAGCTGGGGTTATAGGCCTTAACACAGTGTCAGGGTGCTACTACTTTAAAAAAAAAAATGCTTGCATGAGTTGAGTAAAAGTCTGGTAGGGGATTGGGACTCAGTCCGTAAAGTACTGGGGACCTGAGTTGACCCCCAGAATCCAAGTTTATTTTTAAATTTTGTTTATTGATTTTTTTAAGGCTGGCATGGTGTCATATGCTTATAAGCCCAGTACTGGGGAGGTGGAGAGACATAGATCCCAGCCAGTCTACCCTACTTAGCAAGGGAGATCCTGTCTCAAAATAGCAACATAGGTAATGCCAGGGAAACAATACCTAAGCTTGTCCTCTAGTTCATGTCCATGCATGTGCACACCCGGTCCGTGTATCACCTTGCCTACGCCTGGATACACATGAACATACCATATAAGGTTAATCAACCGATTTAAATTTTAGAAGCCCCTGAGAGCAAAGGGCTCTTTGCCGTCTGTTATAACATACCAGAGCTCAGCACATACACTGTACTGAAGGCCAAGACCATCACAGTTTTCTCCAGGCTTCTGGGAGATCCTGATGCCCTGGTAATGTGAGGAAGGTAAGAAGCAGTCTGAGACTCTCTGAGGCACAGGAGATGCAAAGAGCCGGAAACGACCGTCTCCGCAGCTCTCTGTGTGGCTCCTGACAGGAAGCCAGTAAGA